TGCTGTAAGATGCCACAGGTTCAAGAGACCTGTACACTGCTCATGTATTTTCTAAGCTACAGTAGCAATGATTTGTTGTTGAAAATAAATGCCTAGGGATGCTGTCTAAGTCTGAGATAGTGCATCTCTATCCTTCAAATAGGCATTTAGTGCAGATTTTTGTCATAGTCATTCTAAGTTGTCTTGCAAACAGGAGTTCTATGGGCTCAATCAGTACTTTTGTTGCATTTTGATTATTTTAACTAATTATAATTCTCAACAGGAATAACAATATTCACTGTTAGTGGGGTTTCAAGCAAATACTTTTAAAATACAAAAGTTATAATTACCTTCATTTTTTTTTTTTTTTTTGTCAAAGGTAATACGTCACTAGGGTTTAATTCAGCATCCTCGCCCTGTGGCAGTTACCAAAGACGTCTCCGTCGGAGCCATGTGACCAGCATTGACAACAGTTTCGGAAGGAAGAGCGAAGAGTTACCAGAAGTTGTAAGTTCCCAGATTTATTTTGATAATTTCCACATGGGGGCTGTGCTCTCCAGACCTTAAACTCGGACCCAGCTCAGAAATTTGAAAAATCAAACACAAATTCATTTAGGTGTTTGTGCCTTCCAATGATGTGCAAAGTTTAGAGTTGAACATCTGATTTTGCTACATGCTTAGAACTGTTGATCATCATTGCAATAGCACTTCTTGGAATCAGAAATGAACAAAATGGATTGAAATCCTCCAATCACAACACAGGAGGTGACCTTCTAAAACTTGATGCCTGTTTCCCTAGATGTCCATTTTTTTTCGTGGATTTTATCCCAAACTTCACAGCTAGCATGTTATTGAAAAGGGCAATGAAGGAAACTTCCTTTTTTTTTTTTTTAACTTTTAATTTGATGAATTATTTTTCCATGCCTCCCTGTAGATTTCTCCACCAGTGGGAAGGAGACCAAAGCTTGGCATTGGTATTTTATTTACTCTTGGCGACAACGAAGAAAAAAGCAGGTATGATTCATATTGTTCTAATTATTTACATTGTATGTATTCTTCATCTTGTCTAGCTAATATACATGTACCCTACATTGTTCATTGCTGCTCAGAATGCTGTACAGCGCAGAAGTACTTGGCCCAAAATGCACACAAGAGTTGCATTTAAAAAAAGTATGCATACACGTGCAACTTTTCAAAATATGTTTAAAAAATGTGCCCAAAAGAAGCTCATTAGTATGCAGCGGCAGATCCAGATCTTGAGCTAACGTGAGGAGGGGGAGGGGGGGTGGTTTTGTTTGTTTGGTACATCTTCTGGCTTTTCTTTTTTCTGCAGTTGAATTTTTTACCCAAAATAAGGCAAGGGCCCCTCCGCTAAATCTGCCACTTGTATGTATGAGGCAGTCTTTTGTTTAACTTTGTTTAATTTCGAATGGTGTGCTAGATTTTTAACAAAGGAGGGACTCTGATGTTAGTGACATAATGTGATTTTGTCCTGATCAAACCTTGCACATGTATGTTTAATGTGCATACCAGTTTTGTATTTCTCAAAGAAAGATATCGTATTTTGAAGTAATTCAACACTCTACATTGAATTTCATAAATGGTACTGATGGTGGCATGTTTTCATTTCTCCACAGAGCTCTTCAAGGTGTCTTTTTTGCCCATTTCCCTTTGTTTGAATTGCATGTAATGAAACTTAGAGTGTCTATCGAAAATGCCTGTTTTGGCAAGCCGAGGTTATTTACGAGTCAAGTCATTGAGGTAAGGATAAAAATGACAAATGTGTTGATTTTTTTTTAAAATGTAGATTGCCATTTGTCTGCTATTGTCTTCTGTATGTGTGTGTTACTTTATTCTTTGGTTACCTATTTTCTTTTGATTACCCATTTGTCTGTCTGTCGTTTTCCTCTTTCATCTCATAATTTCTTTCTTACATGGTGTTGCTTGTGTATCAATGTAAATCAAGTTGACCGGTTGTTTGTTTGTACAATACTTGAGCCTTTTATTTCTTATATCGACAGGCAGTGAACACATTTCGAAACACGATTCACAACATGTTCGCAACACCAAGACTCAAGGTAAGGAATAGGAAAGCTAAATGGACTTACTTTGTTCATAATTTATCAGACCTTCACTATTTACTTCAACTGATGCACTGTTATGAAATTTAAAAGAGATGGACATATTGTGCAATATTATGTGATTTGCCTTTCATAAAACAAAACTGTATAATTGAAATCAGCAAAATTGAGGCAATTAATACAATGTAAGCAAATCTGTAAATGAAATTCGTATTGAGTTTTATTACAGCTTTCTTTTTCCCAAGTCAACATGAACACTACCTGATGAAAATTTACCTGCCTTTTACCTGTTAACTGTCTCTGCAATTTTTTTCTCATATATTATGGTATAAAAAATGGTGGCTGCTTGTCATGGAGCAATTCAGTTAATATGCAAACAAGCTAAAAAAACAACAAGACATTGATGATATTGATAATGATGGCAGCTGTTTGGTTGGAGAGAAAAACCGAACTTACAGCCCAGTTAACACTGCATTTTGTTCTCAGCCTCATTAATGTGTTTGTTGTAGGAGTATATCACATGTTTCATACAACATTCAACACATAAATTTGTTCTTTTAAATCAAGCATCAGTGCCATGAACTTTCATTTTTTGTATTGACACTGTTTTGATATGTTCAGGAACCAGTTTGGCTGAACATGATGACACATTCTTCGCATCGCCCTCAGCTCTGTGACAAATTCATGGTTGAGTTGGTGGACTGCCTCAAAGTTGGAAACAGCAGGGAGACAAACTTGTAAGAACTGCATGAACTTTGAAGTGTAGCTAATGCCGCAACTGGCAAATGGTGGATTGCTATATTCCCCTTTTAAATTGTCTTTTATTTCCTATTGGAAATGTAAAGAGAAATTGGCACTGCATGGAAAGTCGTGTAGGGTGTTCTGTCAGTCACATCTTAATAATTGCTAGTAATTATTAACATAACTGTATTTTCGAGACTTTATTGTAGGGGTGATAATTGCAGTTGCTGTCTTAATGATTTTGATTTTTTGTATTAATCCAGGTACTAAATTAGAAGCATTTATTAACTGATATTGAATTTTTTCCTCTCCTAGTTTCATGGCAGCCATTCTGACAGCTGTGTTGCAGAATCATCTTGCGTGGGTGTCGACAGTAATGCCTGCTGGAACAGCTCCTAGCCGAGCATTTCTGGACAAACATTCTTCCAAAACTGTGAGTCAGATTGTTCTATCGCATTGTGGAAATAATTAAAGTTCTTGTAAACAAGGAAAATTTTTCTTGTTGGCAGGAGAATTGTCTTTTGAAACATTGATGTGTCAATCATAATTTCTTCATCATGTATTGTATAGTCATCGTCATTGGTATTAACATACTCTTCAAGCAATGTATCTGGTGGAATTCACAAGGAAATCTGAAAGAAGCCCACAGTGTAGCGTCCACTATCCTAGAGGAAATGTTTTCTGTTCTCAAGAAATGCCGCGGAAAAATGGACTGCCTAATTCACGAAATGCTATTCATTCGCGAACAAAAACCAAAGCTAAACACGCAGTCTGACTCAATACGTGCAAAAGTATTTATTTAAACATATACTGCACGATCTGACATGCTAAACACCAATAACAATGAACGCTCATTATTCTAATGAAGTTATCACATTTTATTTGTATATAATCTCTGAGCTACAATTTTACATCAGTTTTAACATTTTACTTGATAATGAGGTCATGCAGACTTCGAAATGTCGTAGTTTTTTACCGTTAATTTTTATTATCAAAAATATGAGGCAGCTTAGAAAATTCTCAGCACTCATTTAATGCTGCTTTCACTTTTTTTTTCTTTTTTTTTTTTATATTTACAGTTGGATCTGCTTGCTCAGTCACATCCATACAATCCACTGTGGGCTCAGCTAGGGTAAGGTGATTACCAAGTGTACTTTAATTTAATTTTGATCTTTTGAAGTTGATGCGGGTATGAGAATACCTTGGTTGGTTCTTTATTAAGAAATACAGATTTATTATTATGATGTAAACACTAATGAAACACCAGGTGAGCTTCTGGGCAAAAACATGATATCTTTACACTAAGTCATGAAAATAACATGTTATATTTACCCAAGAAAATAACTCCCTTACCATGGTTATATAATAAATGGCATAATTATTTCACAGCAATAGTGAAAAGGTTTGGTTTTTGACTGGTGTTTATATGATAAACAGAATAATACATGATCAGGCAGAGATATGAAATTTCTCTTTGAGTGTTGAAAAATATTTAGACTCTTGTTTGCTTTGCTCACCTGTGAAATATTTTTTAACACTGTAAGAGAAATTTCGTATATTTATCTCTGTGTTGCCATGCAATACCTCTATTTATTTACTCCTTGATTATTGTAACTGATTTAAGGAGACCCATGCTGTTCAGATGTGACAGTCATTTTTGTAGATACGATTCGTGACCTTTTTTTTCCAATCTCATCCCTTTACTGGTAACTCTCCTTACAATATCAGTATAATGTCAAGCAGAAAAGTGATGAGAATTAAGAAAAATTATTAATTAGGGAAAATTATTGTTGTCAATCCAATACTAAATTCTCTTAACTACTCTGGCATCGTGATAATTAAATGGCAGAGAGTATTGAGACTAAAGAGATCTTGGGAGTGAAAGAGTTTGTGTTATTTTTTTTTTTTCTTTTTTTGGAAATTTTTACTGGAAAACTCTTTCTGTTACAAACAGCTTCTGTTAGAAACAGGTCTTTCTGTTACAAACAGCTAACCGCCGCCCAGTTAGCCCAAGGGATAGTGTGCTGGACTGTTGTGCGGGAGGCCGAGGGTTCGAGCCCCAGGCGGACCAACACTCAAAGGTCATACAATAATTGAGAAGAATGTGCTACCTTT